GAAAAGACTTCCCGTCGACGAAACCTCGCACGATTGCCACGCGTGCGTGCACATAATACTGCACCTACGAGTATACACTTATAGGTAACGGGTAGGTATGCCTATTTATACCTAATAATAATAATACCATAACAGTATTATAATACCTTATACCGCCTATATAACCTGTACAATCGTTGCAGATCAGTTGAATGCACTCGCAGTGCAATTGCGTGATGCACTTTACCGAATCGTCACGTCGTCGGAAGAGCATGATAATTGAACAATCGTTTTACGTCGTCGTTGCAGCGTGTAATCAAACGCGCGCAACAATAATCGCTGCAAATCGCAGGCGACGAGCCCAATTAAGCACTCGGCTTGAATGTAATAATTTGTTATATACTTAGATATATATTTAGATCTACACGTGCACACATACGTTATACAGCTACCTGCAATGTATGTATTGTATAGCTAGGTGTATATTATTGTTGGACGTCGGTAATCTACGGAAATCTACCGTTGCTGGTCCCAAGCGATTTTTTGATTACTGCAGGACGGTAACCTGTGTGTAAACAATACGTCGTAACCCATATATCTAACTTGACCATAGCCAGACCACATGACGTACTGGATTGAGACGGAAAATTTCTCGAGCGTATCGCACGGGTAATGTTTAATCAGTGGAAAGTGGAAATTATTTAGTCGGTTATAAGGGTGTCGGGGTGATATTTATTAAGGGGCAAAATGCACGCAATTTCTAGTTACGTATAGCACGGCGGCCAACTGAAAAAATAAAATCAAACCTTTTCAACGATCAATAAAGAATTTACAGGAAAGACGAATAATATGTCTCGTAGAATAGAGAGATTTTGATCATTGTTTTTTATTTAAACTAGGAAAACATCATTCAGGTTACATAGGACACTAATTTTTTTACTAACTTAAAAACTAGAAAAAACAATTTGTGATGTATAGACGTTTATTAAAACTTCTGTAAATAAGTTTTTAAAATCAAAGTATAAAGTCTTTTTAGAAATATATGAAAAAAATAATGCTAAAAAATAATCATCGAAACCTGACTATTTAGCGAAGCATAGGAGTTTTTCCTGGGAGGCAAGTTCTTATGCTAAAATTGTGACTCGTCACTATAACACAATTTAGTTGAAACAATCAAAATATGAAGACATAGTCGCTGTTGTTTTACAATATTTATCGATTATTACGAAATCAGTTACTATAAAATATTGGTTTTAATAGACATGAATCAATTACTGTTTGACCACAATGGTCAATGACTGTCTTAACTTAATTATAAAGACCTTAAGTAGCATATCTTATTTCAATTATATATTTATATTTTTACACCGTGGTAGTGGTATACCTATATATATACGTTAGTGTTTATTACTTAGTTGGCTTCTCGAATTTTATTGTTTAATACAACGACCATCAACAAATATATATATATATATAGTTCAAAGTTTCAAACATACAAGGAACATTTGAATTAAACTCCGCAATATCTATGATCGTAGTATGAAAAATATTTGCTCGTAAAATCATTGTATTGGTTTCAAAATATTTCGAATTTTAATTTAACGAAATGTCCAAGAAAGATATAATAAAATTACTCTGTGGTGTAAAAATTAAATTAAATACTTCTTTAATGCACAGGTGTTAACTTTATAAACATAAATAGCTTTCAACATAATATATTATAATATATCATGTGTTTCTATATTGTATACCAAAAAAACGGATGCCATTAATCCGATCTATAAACATGCGTGAGAGCCGGCAAACAATAGAAGATTACACATATTATATACGGTGCAGTTTAATATAATAACATGCATGTATAATGTATATGCAATAGATACCGAAATCGATATCACTAATAAGTTATAATTGATATTAAATGATTTATATGTGCATTTGGTACACGTTGTCGAAAAACTTTTGCGTGAACATAAAGTTTCCGACGTCATATAGACACCGATGTGATATGATCTGAAAACCGCAATACTTATTGGAACCAATAATAAACGGATGTTCGACAGATAATTTTAATAATAATGAAAGGTAATGGTTTATTTTTTAACTGTTATTGATTTTATATGAAAAAAAAAAGTAAAAATGATGTACCTGACTAATTGTATGCCTAATACTAGTGACTTTTGATCATTTTTTTTTATTTAATTCACACGACCGTGTAATTCTGTATATATACTACGCGGTCCCTCAATAATGATAAAAATGTCCACGCTTGTAAAAAATCAACATGGCCACAAGTACATAAATGATGAGTAAAGAAGATCACGTGTTCAAATAAATAGAGGTACCTAATACATTTTATGAGATTTTTCCAAAGTATAATTAAGCTAACACTTTATTGTCATCCCGCATTATCATCATACATTTAATATGCTTATTTTATCATAATATAATATTGTTTATTTAATCTATGATGTTATATTATTATGACTTTTCGTGGTATAACATTGCAGCAACAATTATTTTTACGTATATTGAGGTCGTAAAAGATAACCAAAAATTGCGAGCGTTATCTATGATATACTTTATTGATTTTTTGTGAAATGCCCTCGATAGCCGATTATGCGGTTAATTTTTATTTTGTCTCGATAATAATTGATTCGGAGTAAGAAAAATAAAACAAAATCAAATTAAATGAAATGTCCTTTCGATAAAGAAACCATGGTAATTAAAATAATATATCCAATTCGTATAATATAATTTTTGAACGATAGTATTGAATTAAGTATTTTATTTCATGTTTTTTATTTTTATTATATTTTATTTAGTCTGATATTCATAGTCAGTTTATTCTGGTTGTATCCCGATTTTCGGTTTGATTTTATATTTAATTTTAGTTATTGTTATTTTATTCAGAACTCCGAATGTTTACTAACGAAAATTCACATTTTTATATTATTTAGGTACTAATAAATATATTGTTTATCCATACTAATTATAGTATTTGAACATCTTATTTTTGTTGGTTGTGAAAAATACCATGACTATAAGTCTACACGACTCTAAATAAATAATCCAAACAGGCTACAAACGACATCCGAACCGTTGACAGACATCCCCGTCCTATTAAGGTTGTATACGTGTATAATATGTTGGTCATGGGTATAACTACAATTGTATAAAATGTGACATAAAAACTTATTTTCAAGCTAAAAATATCGGTTAATTTAATGAAGTTTTTTAATTTATCGTAGATATAGTCTATACCTACTTTAGATCAACTGTCCTTTTGATTTTTCTGATTTTATACTCTTCCAAAAATTGTAATATGACGATTTTTAATTTCCACTTTTTTTAATATAACTTTTTTCGCATTTAGGGAGGTAAAATAAAAAATATGGGAAACTCGAGCTCAAGTAGAACATATAAATTTGAAATATATCATTGAACTTTGTGTTCAAAATGCTTATTATTCACTAAATCAACTTTGGAAATAGAACACATCTAAAATCCTATGATGCTCGAATTAGACAAATACAGACAATTATAGCTGCTCACAATCCCCTTAATTTTAGTGTATTCATATAATAATATATTGTAAATTATATTATGAATAAGTAGGTAAATACTCTCAATACTCGATGCTAACAGCTAATGGGTCATAAACGCATGTTCACACAAATGATTATTAAATCTATTTGTTTTTTAAGTAAAGTAAAAATAATCATTTCAAGCTCATCAATAGTAAATGAAATAAACTTTATTGCCCCCCGAGAACCCAAATAGTATTTTAGGACAATTTCAGCGTGATAAAACAGTTTTAACGACTTTTGTGAAAATTAAATACTGTAAATCTATGTAACCTCATTACTCGAATAGCTAAAATAACGATTTAAGTATGTATCGATTATGAATATTTTATACTATGGTGTAGTAAATATTATAATACAGTTTTAAAAACTATAGCGAGATGTAACGAAATTATATTAACAACTAAAAAGTATACCAAAAACTTTCTGAATGAATAATTTCCATGTGATTACTGTTTGAATACAATATTATTTTTTATTAACTTGCAGTTGTTATTTTATATTTATATAATAAATACATGTAAAATATTTGAACTTTAAGGCTCAAATTACTTTAAATGTATACGTAGATATAAAAAAATGGGTTTACATTTTGAAACGCTTCAATAATTTCATAATAAATACCGTGAAAAATCAAATGAAAATCCAACTCGTGTTGTCAAATTAAAGTGTCATTAGCGTTCAACTTGTGTGGTAAAACGTTTATGATACCTAATTCAATTCTATCTACAGAAATATTTAATGATGTTGGTACTCGTCGGACATATTATTATAATGTTTACCTCATATTTTCACTCGAAAAGAAAACCTAAAAGATAAAGTGCATTTAAATTCATTACACACAAAAAATTAAAAAAATTAAAATGTTATTATTGTCCTACATTTAGTGTATCTAAGATTTTTATGAGAAATGTTATTATAATAATATGTTGATGTGTACCATACTGAAATAAGACGACTGCGAAATTTAATTAAATTGTCACTAAGTATTTATATTAATACTAAATACTTTAGTAAATACGTTCCGACCGAATCTAAGTAAACTCGTGTAAATACATTTTAACATACTTCAGTTTTTAAAACCAAACCACGACAACTGCTTGGAAGTATTTAACATATTATAACTAATTTGTATGTAAAATGGTATACGTCATACCTACATATATGTGGGGTTTGCGAAGCCCTTTCCGTTTGATTTTGATCATTTATGTTTCACCAGAAGTAAAACTGTCACCGATAATAAATACAAAATTGTACGCCAAATGTTTAGGTGACGTGTACATTCTACAGCCAAGTAGTAGCAGTGATATACATATATGTAGGTAATCGGCTGTGCAATGATATTGGTGCGCATAATGTATAAGTATTTGTTTACTGACCTGTCCGTTAGATATCATTATGATGCCAATTATAAAATATATATTGTTTACTGACCTGCCCGTTTTCGTGATGATCATCTCTGTGCCGAGCTCGTTGAACTTGTCCCACAGGTCTTTGGTCTCCAGCCGGCAGCTGACATGCTGCAGCTCTTCCGAGTTGCACCGTTCCTCGAGCACCGGATCCGATGACCCGGTGGTCGCGGAAACCGACGGCGGCGGCGGACTGGACGTAGACGACGATATGACAATCTCGTCGGCCGGCGAGGCCCGGGACGACCGGACCGTGACCATCGTGTCGCTGCTCAGGCGCCGTTTCCTCAGCGGTTTTCCGTCTGCAAAAGCCGGCACGAGAAATGAAACAAAAAATTAAATCATTTTCATTTTCTCGTTTACCGCACTGCTAGGCGTACCTACACACGTATATTTTATATTATACCGGTGTCCCCATCATCCCCAGAACCAGACTTACTGATCCCTACCTCCCCTCGGCAGACATTTCCTTATCGAGTAAATAGGAAGTATGAAAAATATTGGTTTAGCTGAACACAAAACCACATTTATTAGGATCTGATGGTATTTGAGTTCTTTCAAGGAAATATTATTAAGTATATTCAACTAATATAATTAGTTACATTAGTACATTGGCGATATTCAACTAATTATTTAATGACGAGCTCTAAAACTATAGGTAGTCTAGTAAAATATTTTTGAATTTAGAATCAAAATACTCAGATTGACCAATGTAACTGGATTCTATAATATATTTCTTTCTATTAACACGGTTAGATGTCTTACGAAATCAGTATTTAATAGTAATCAAAAAGTGCTATTAAAGTTTGAAATGCCTAACAAATTTGTAGTCAAGGAACGCTTTACAAATTATTTTTATTATTAATCCATCCATTCTATTACATAGTGATGTGAATAGATATTCTATCGATAAACGAATTAACAGTTATTTACGAAACTTTAAAGAATAGACTGTGTGTACCTACTTCAAAACCAATAACTGTTCTCCATTACTCAATACTTAGTCATTTAACTATTATGAATAGTTAGTGTTAAGATGATTAAAAATCAGAAGAATTAGTAACTAGTAAATATATAATATAATGGCTACTTCAAAATGTATACATTTTATTCCTCGAAACCGCACGTGATAACTTTTACTTTTGATTTGATTAAAATTAATTTTATAAACATAGATAATGATTATTGTGCCTAACACAATATGGTAGGTAATAGGTATAGTATAGTATAAACTTAATCGAGACCTATGTATATTTATCACATAGATACATTAACGAGCGTGTTGGCCAATGGTTCATTTTTTTTTTATAAAATTTTTCAACACGTTTTCGTCAAAAATGTCAATTTTCTTATATAAGCAATGAAGACAGAATAATAAAAATAAAAATGCAAACTGCAAACTGCATATAATGTATAAGTATAATATTAAGTGGCACAATGTATATTAATTTGTATTTCAAACAATAGGTGTGTATGCTGTAGGTTTGGTCGGTTGTGTGAGAGGTGTATAATTTGTGTTCATTTAAATAAAACCCATGTACAAATGTACGAATCGTATTATTATTTTCTTTTTATCACTTATTTATCATACCTATAAATAATCTACAATATTGACAAATGACAATAATATTCGGTTATGACAGTGAATCGATAAAATAATATCATAGCAGTTATATACAATCGATGAGTAATCCAAAGTCTATTGAAACAACATAAAAACCGTAATTACTAATATATATATAGGCAGGTACCTAATTGTTGTGACACATTGTAAACAAATCGGTCAGTTCAATCATCGTCACGTCAACTTTATATAGCATAATTTAATAATATACATGAATATAATGGTTTAATTCCGATAGTCAATTATACTATACACCTATATAGCAAGTATACAATAGTGTTTAACTGCCTATGAGAGGTATACTATGTACACACTGTGTAATTGATATCAAAACAGAACATATAGATACTTGTATGCGTCATATTCGAATTATTACTGAAACTTTTATCTATGTAATAGATGTAGGTACGAGTGGACGGCGGAAATATTATAATATTATGTTATCGGTGTTTGAAGAGTCATCGAGCTTTGAACTATTTTTACTATATAAAATAGCATTCGTAAATGCAAACACGATAAGAAAATCGAAAATTACAATTTCCCACGCTCAATCTTCTCGACTTCGGCCATGGTGAAGCCGGGTTTTCTCTACTCACGTAGATGATAACAATTCGCCATGTAGAGTACTCTCACTCTTGTGGGTACGAATGTAACAATAATAAGAATAAAACACACCTATTGTTGGAATACAGTAATAAAAATATGCAATATTTACACATTAAAATATACAATATAAGGCACTTTTTAGGAACATTATAATATCGTATTTTTATATTAGCTGTTATACAACCGTCCGACTTGTCCTCACCTTCGTCGTCGTCAGTGGCGGCGGCGGCAACGGTTTGATGGTGACGGCGGCGGTGGTGGTTGTGATGGTGATGGTGATGCATGTGGTGACGGCGCTGGTCCCTGTCATCGCCGTCGTCCGGCGGTGACGGTGTGGACAACGAGGACGAGGACGACTGTTCGTCGGCGGTGGCTGTCGCGGTTGCTGCGGTTGGCCGCTTTCCCGCGATCGCAGCGGCCGCTGCTACGGCAGCAGCCGCGGCCACGGCACCTTGATCGCGTCGCGCCAATATGGCGGCCACTGAAAAGTCCGTGGCGCACGGCCGCAGAGTAAAGTTCTGTTCCATCGCCGGCACCATATACCTATGCGCCGAACTCCGCGGCCGTATGGCAATGTCTGAAACGGTCCTTGCTCCTCCTCCTATTATACCGTGGTTGCGGTAGTCGCACGTGAATACCGGACCGAACTGGTACGTGGTTGACGGTTTGAACACGACGACAACGACGACGACGAAAGTGTAATATCGAATGAGTTTATCACATACAGCTATCGAAAGCCGCGACAATAGAATTATCGTCTACGCAAAAACAATAACAACACTATCGTCTCACGTGTGTATCATAATATTATTATCGTGATTATTTTGTTTTCATCAATGTCGAAATGATAGCTATGCCGTTTTCGCAATATCACACATATAATTATAATATTATTATAATAGTATAATATTGACGATTGTCACGGGCGCCTACCGACATACAATATAAACGCATATAATAATGTTCAATTGGTATAATAATAATATTATTGTAATATTATTGTGAGTGCGAGCTCGGAGTAAGGTGAAACGCGTGTTTATGCGGTCGACGAACGATAAAAACGGACGCACACGCGCCGCGGGTGACAATCGACGAACCGGCGACCGGTCTCGTGTATGAGTGAGCCGGCCGTCGCCGTCGTCGCAGTCGCAATCGTCGTCGTCGTCGTCGTCGTCGGCGGCGGCGGCGGCGGCGTGCGTCGTACGTTACGCTCGGTGCGTGTTCGTAAATGCGCTCGTGTGCGCGCGCGCGTGTGTGTGTGTGTGTGTTTTGCGTGTGTGTGCACTCGTATTTCCGTGTATGTGTGTGCTTGTGTGTGCTCGTTAATGTGTACGCTCGCTCGTGTGTGTGCGGTTCCCCACTCCGCCGCCGGCCGGCACAATGGGTTTTTCTGTTACGCCCCGGACCACTCCTCCAGGGACCATAGACCGCGGTGAATGGGCGGCGCGAAAACTCCACCTCCACCTCGTCCACCTCCTCCTCTTCGTACGCGGCCACCTCGTCCACCGCCGTCACGACTATAATAATATACGTAGTAGTCATCCACGGAACCCGCCGACGGTTCGACACTACCGTGCCGCTCGCACCGCCGCCGCGGCTAATAACATCGATCAAACGATTATCAAACCGCAATGAAAGCGATTATATTACTATTACTATTATTATTATCATTATTATTGTGTGCACCGTGTGCGAGGACGCGTATTAGTGGCGATAAAAAAATAACACATCGCCGCCACTAAACACACTACCGTTTAATAGATACCCAGATATAGGTATACTTACGCTGCAAGCGTACAAAACAATTTTATAGGCGCCTTTCGTAAGCGCCGGCCTTGTCTACATGTCAGTATGTCACCCACACAATGGAGAATGGAGGGCAGGGTGGGTCACAACCACACCACGAACTATCACCTTCTTGAAAATTATTTTAAAATGGATCAACTAAAGTGTATACCGCGAAGGAGTATTAGGACGTTATGGTATTATAGTTATGTGTTTAGAAGGCTAACTATAAACTGCTTACCAATTCGTTATTTCGAGAAAGTTATTATGAGCACAGCCCCTGCAATTCTGAGAAAAATCCTCCATGCACTATCCCGTATAATATAATGAATAGCTTTATCACTCAATAATCCATCGCCAAATATACATATAATATATTATGTATCCATAACCCATACACTTTTCCGACTGATATTCTTGGAGTACACAGGATTTTTCAATGGGGAGGGGAGGCTTGAAAATTAATTACGATTTTATTTTTATTTCGTCGAGTCTAATAATTTCAGACGTTTAGGTGAGTATTTGAAAAGTTTGTACGACTTTCTAGTAGAAAAAATGCTCTGATCATAAGCTTCGATGGAGGTTTTTGGAAGCTAATTGTATTTAGATGGTACTTTTGGGAGGTTGAAATTGAAAAAATTGAAAATCGTCAGTAATTTTTGTAATAATCGGGAAATACAAAAATGAATCAATGAAAATTTGTTAAATTTGTTTGGTAACCTTTTTGGTTAGAACGTCTTTGCTTGAATTGTGATTGATTAATTTTTGTTTTTTTTCTAAAAATTTCAATAAAAAAGTATTAGTACGATCAAACAACTTAAAAATGTACTACTAGGCTCCTCATAAATTTGTATTGTTGCTATTTAAAAATATTAACGATACATAGGTTCAAATGGTTCAATTATTTTTATAAGCGTTTAAAGTTTGACAAGACCTCAATTAATTTGTAGTTTATATGCATAAAATATTAAACTTGTATAACTACTCCTTACACGTTTAATACTAGGTTTTTCATATAGTATCTAATCCTATTAATAGTTCTGAACTGTTAAATATTAAACTTACTTCAATACTATACACTGCAGTTATTATATATACCTATTTATTATACGATAAAGCTCAATAATAAACTCTGTGGTAAATATCCACTTTTGCTTTTTTCACACTTCTATTATATAGGTAGGCATAAATGTATAATATTATATTAGAGTTCCATCAAGAGGCTTTCTAAACAGTAGGTTCAACAACTCATCTCTCCTTTTTTTTCACAATGACATAGGTTACTATGACATAGATACTGTTCCTCTAAGATTAGATAAAACCCAATTTCCATACCAATCTCAAAACCTCTGATGAAGCACGTTTCAACTATCTGGGAACCAAAACAAAAAACTTCTTTTAAAACCTCGACTACCTCAAGACCTACTTCTACTAGATGTTAGCATAGTTGATGACCAAATTTAAAATTCTAACCATTAATGGAAATGTTATAATTAATATAGTTTGTATAAACTATATTTACACTTATCATTGTAATTATATCTAAGACTTGTAATAGCATAATATTATGATGTGGTGACACATTTTAATTCAATAAATAATAAAAAAAACATCTCTCCATTTTCAAATAGTTCAATAGTTTTTCATACAATGATATACAGAGTGCCAAATTCCAATATAAAATACTCCAAATGGCATTTGACTGTTCAGATGTAGATTTTTATATTTTAATGTAATATGATACTCAGTATCAAATATCATTGAAATTTGAAACCAATATTTATCAAGCATAATAATAATATGATATATAATTTTAATTTTAATTATTAAACTTATCGTTTCTGCGTATATTATCATATTTAAATAATTATTGGGTACTTAAATTTGAATCTAATAAAATCTAAATAATATTTATTGTTCTAAGAAGAATAACTATTCTCAACACTAAAGTTTTGCCTATATTGAGTATATGTTATCAGTGATTTCAATTATTTTTGTACATCAAACGACGCAACCCAAAACAGTTCTGAAAAACATATTATATTTCTTTATAAGTTTAGTGCATAATATTATATCGTAATAATAATTGGCATAATATAAACAGCTATAATAATTATAATAATTACAGCTTAATGATTTCTATGAACATGTACCTCTATTTTTTTTTCTTTATCGAAAATAATTGATAAAAAAAAATAAAATTATAGAGTATATAGTAGGTATTGTATATCATTCTATGTGTGTGTGTATCATCCTCCATATTCCTCAGGCCTTTCATGGTCCACTGAATGATGGCATAAAACATGCCTGTATACTTATAAATAGGTATTTTCCCCGTCTACCAAAATGTAGTTATCTATATATTGTCTACATACAACCTACTTAAAGTATCGCCAAATAAGAAATAGCTGCAATAGCCATCACATGTGCAGGCACTATCAACTATAATATTTATATATAAGCACTTTCCACTAATGGTTGTTCCTCGATAGTGATCACCATCACAAATATATATAAATGTGTGTAAAGTGTGAACAGTGTGTCAAACTCCAAATTTAATCATTTGAAAATAGTGGAAGTATTTTGGGATAATTTTCTGGAGGATATTCAAAATGCATATAGGACAAAGTAAATCAGCGTGAAGTTCTGCCCTTACGCCACCTTTGAAAATTATCCACTGACGTATTTAAAAACATAAACCTACTTAAATCAAAGAAAAGTTAAGGAAACAATTTATCAATTGTTTTTTAAAAATTACAAGCTACACTTGATTATGTCTTATAAGTTATGTACTTAAGTTGCAGTAGCAATAACTATTTGAATTAATCTAAATTTGCAATTTACTTGATACGCTACAAAGTATGTTGACCGTGAAATACTAAATTAAAAAAGAATATATTATAATAATAATAATTTTGCTGTCAACAAATATAAATACACATAAATAAATAAGAATAGATTATACAATTTGATTTATTGTTTTATTTATTTTATGTTATCAGCAGAGCTTCACCGACGTAATCTTTATTTTTTTTTTAGAAAATCATACAACTCACTATAAATAGGTAGTTGTAAATAAAATCCAAATCTTCAGAGAGTATAGTAAGTAACGAGATCTTATACTAAATATTGTACAACCACATACCTATTCAGTGCACCAAACATTTAAATTACCAAGGCACTCACCATGTTAATTATAAATTGTGTTTTCATCATAACATATGAAATATATGGATATAAATTATGTAGGCATAAGTAATTATCCTATTTTTTTATTTAAAGCGTCCATGTTTTATGTCTTACAAGTTTGGAAACCCTCCCATACAAAAAAAATAATTTGCCTCAAATTCATGCAGTTTTATTTAAAACCTAGGTATATATGTTTGGAATTGAGAAAAACTAGTATGAAAATAAAAATTAAACGTTCTTAATGAATTAATAGTGGATTTGTATCCTGCAGTAATTGGTTTATTTCATTTTAAGTAAACTATCAAATCAATAATTTTTTAAGCTAAGATACCTACATATCACTTCATTACTATCTATACAATATTTAATATTTATATCCAAGATTTTCAATAACATATTATACTATTTAATATTTATAATATAATATTTATTAAGTACCTACTTAAATGGCGATCGTTTGCTAATAATAATAACTAAATATAGGTATAACGGATTAGAGAACCATTTAGTTTTAAGTAGCTATACACACAACAATAATACACATATGTATATTAATTATTAAGGTGCAAGGATATAAAATGATGGTATAATAGAGTGACAAAAAAATGCATACATTTAACTATAAACTGCATAACATTTGGACAATAAAAATGCACTAAGTTTATTACTGCCTGCAATAGGTAGGTATAGCTACTCGAGTTATTGTAAGTATATTAAAAAGTAAATGTGTACATTCCATATTACAATACATATTACATACTATCGTAACTAATGAGGAAAAATGACATCTAAACAAAAAATCTTTTTACAGTCGAACATAATTACTATGACTTATCGCATTTGATGTTCAAATGAATAAGTGGGGAGGATGAGCTTTATTTATTTATTTTTTGTTCTTGTTAAATTAACCGCAAAAATAATCGTTATAGCGCCAGTGACATAATGTTTTAGTCAGGGTGGTTTTAGGGTTTTAAATGCTTGCGGACTTTATTCGGGGTGTAGTATTGTCCATCATTAGTATATATTATTATGTAATATTATAAAAAACATAACCCTTTAAAATCAAAGAATTGCATTTAAAAAAAATATCTACTTTAAATTGTATGTTTTTGTTCGGTAGGTAGGTACATTATAATTATTGTACTATAATGTGTGTGTGTGTTAAACGTT